GGTCCTATTTTTACCCTTTTGGGTTTAGGAACTTGCACTTTTGCCAAACACCCCCACACTTTAAAATAATTCAAGTTGGGCTTCCTTCCTTTCCATTTTTCATATGGAATTGATTGTATTTTGCTATGGGGTACTCGATTTAGTATTCGGCTAGCCGTAAGAACGGCTTCCCCCCCACAAGTTCTGTGGCAAACCAGAACTTATCAATAATGCGTTTATCATCTCCTTTAATGAACGATTCTTTCTTTCTGCAATCCCATTGGATTGGGGTGTATAAGGGGCCGTTGTTTGATGAATAATTCCATATTCCAAACATATTTGTTCAAAAGGAGATTCATATTCACCACCCCTATCACTTCTTATCATTTTGATTTTCTTGTTAAGTTGTGTTTCAACTTCATTTTTGTATTGCTTGAATGCGTCTATTGCTTCATCTTAACTATTAAGTAAGTAAACATAATAATATCTAGTACTATCGTCAATAAAAGTTATGAAATACTTCTTTCCACCGCGAGATGGTATTGACTTTATGTCACAAATATCTGTGTGAATTAAGTCTAAAGGATCTGAATTCCTTTCAACTGACTTATAAGGATGTTTAACATACTTATATTCCACACATACTTGATATTTTGATTTGTCACATTCAAATTTAGGCAATACTTCCAAATTAATCATTTTCCATAAGGTTTTATAATTAACATGACCCAAACGTATATGCCATAATTCATTTGACTCAAGTAAGTAAGACGAAGCTGAAACTTTATTATTATTCTCTACAACCATTACATTCAGCTTGAAAAGGCCCTCAGTAAGGTAACCTTTTCCTACAAATATTTCATTCTTACTTATTACAACCTTATCGGAAACAAAAACACATTTAAAACCATTCTTAACAAGAAGTCCAGCAGAGACTAAATTCTTCCTAATTTCGGGAACATGAAGGACATTATTTAAAGTGACCACTTTGCCGGAAGTCATTTTGAGAAAAATCTTCCCACATCCTTCAATCTTGGTCTTAGTAGCATTTCCCATAGAAATTGTCTCATCGGGTCCAACAGGAGCATAAATAGCAAACTCCTCCTTGACAGCACAAACATGGCGAGTGGCTCCAGAATCAATCCACCACTCTTTAGGATTGCCCACCAAGTTGCATTCAGAAAGCATGGCGCATAAGTCATCAATATCATCATGCTTTTCAACTATGTTTGCTTGACCCTTCTTCTTGTCTTTCTTCGGAGCACGGCACTCCGTTGATTTGTGTCCGGTTTTTCCACAGTTGTAGCAGTTTCTACTGAACCGCTTCTTACTTGGGTTATATTTCGGACCAGAAGCCTTCTTCCTCTTCTTGCTCTCTTCAACAATATTTGCTCCCATTATTGTTGAACTTCCACGGCCTCTCTTTTCAGCAGCTTTGTTGTCCTCTTCAATTCTCAATCTAACAATGAGATCTTCAAGGGACATCTCCTTGCGTTTATGTTTCAAGTAGTTTTTGAAGTCCTTCCACAAAGGAGGCAACTTCTCAATCATCGCTGCTACTTGGAATGCTTCATTGATAACAGGACCTTCAATGAAATTTTCGTTAGTAAGAATACTAAGATTACTACTTTCAACATCAATATTAATTTGATTCTTACCTTCAGCAAGGAGATTGTGAATAATCACTTGCAGTTCTTGGACTTGGGTAATAACAGATTTGCTATCTACCATTTTGTAATCCAAAAACTTTGCAGCCACAAACTTTTTCAACCCGGCATCTTCAGTTTTGTATTTCTTTTCCAGCGCATTCCACAGTTCTTTTGACGTTTCCACGCCACTGTAGACATTATACAACGCATCCTCCAGCCCGCTAAGAATGTAATTCTTGCACAAGAAATCTGAATGCTTCCACGCCTCAGTAACGAGAAAGCATTCATTATCAGGAGTTTCATCAGACTGCACAGGAACATCTTCCTTGATGAACTTCTGAAGACTTAAAGTAGTCAAATAGAAGAACATCTTTTGCTGCCAGCGATTGAAATCAATCCCGAAAAATTTTTCGGGTTTCTCCGCCGGTGCCAAAGCTACCGGTGTCGTTCGGCTTGTTGATCCATTGGCAGTCACCATTGGAACAGCTTGGTTCACATTATCATTAGTCATTTCTGTAAAAGAATGGCACCAACGTTAAAATTAAATAGATTTTAATGGAGCACAAAACCACAAAGGTTTTACTCTCAAGAAAAATAATACAAATACAGAAATATATTAAATTCCTTAAGCTTGTTAGTATACTGTATTTGTAATACAATTCTGAAAATATAAATTAATATAAACAGAGATTATGATAAACAGAAATGACATAAACAGAAATGAACAATTCGAGCCCACTGAATTCACAGTGTCTCCTTAAGGAATTTAATCCCCTTCTAGCACCCAAGGTTACGGATTATTTCATCCCAGGATAGAACGAATTCCACACTGGTGTAGTGGTACTCCAAACGCCAGTGTTTCAGCGAACTCAAAGATCAGTAGCAAATCACACTTACTTTTTGCTTTGGTTTATGCTAAAAGTATGCAGAAGAAAGAGAGAAAACTCAGAAAATCATAGTGAAATTCTGAGCAGAATAGTGTTGTATTTATAGCCAAAAGTTGGGCTGAAATCTGAAGAGTTGCAACTCTTCAGAATGGCTGTTTCTACAAAACGGCCACAGCATAAATGCCATTGCATAAATGGCCATTTACTCAACAATAAAGAGGGTAAATTGAAGAGAGGGTAGTTAATTTTCTGTTACCAAAACAGAAAAACGGATTGGATTTAATAGACGGCGCGAGGCTTGCTTTCTTCTCAACTCTTTAAGAGCTAGAAAAGAGCAATTGCTTATATACCCATAAAAAATCTCTTCCTTTTCCAATGAGGGACAATGTCCATATGCCGGGGGGGGGGAGTGGGGGAACTTGAAATTTCACTCAAAAATTTCATTTCCCTCCATTTCCCATTCACCCTCTTTTAAGTATTTAATATATTCATTTAAATACTTTAAAACCCAACAAACTCGTTATTTAGAGGGGGCGTGGGAAGTCGATTAAAGAGATAGACAGTATTATAGCAAGAAAAAGACCATAGTTCTGGTGGTAGGGAAGCTTCGTGGAGAAGAGTTTTGGTTGTTTCAATAATATGGTGATATCGACGTTCAGTTATGGCAACACGTTGTGGTATATAGGGAGGTGAATTTAAGTGTTCAATACCATTTTGTTGAAGATAAGACTAAAGACTTGTGTACTCACCCCCTCCATCTGTATAAATTGAAGAAATCTTTGTTTTGATTTTTATTTTATTTTTTACTAAAGGACGAAATATTTGGAATAGAGATGCCTCCTTAATATTTTGCAATTGGTGATAAGACAAGGATGCTTAATATTTACAAGTCCAATCTGCATCAACAATACCAAATAAAAAGGTAATATAATTATTTTCTTATTTTATCAATAAATATGCTGTATTACCTGATACATCATGTCTAGCCTAATACTAATTTTGATGTCAATATTCGTAAAATGTCATTTATAAGGGAGTTAATATCTTTTTAATTTTATGTATTACTTAGTGCCAAAAGAATTATTAATCAGGTGTCATCTTATTTGTTCTTGGATTTTAAGAAATAAAGAATGAATAGAAAGAAGAAGAAAAAAAGATTGTAGGGTGTGGAAAAGGCTTCTTGAGTTGAGTAAGACAACACCATTTTATTAAAACCAAATTAATTATGAATTAGGTTTTTTCTCCGAATAACCGATAAAATTCTCGAGGATCACTGGTGCACGATTCAAATTTTGGTGATAATGAACCAACCTTTACTCTTTTCAGCTTAAATATCAAGCTTTTGTCACGTGGGAGAGTTAGAACATATAACATGCATCTAATCCACATATCACAAGTTGTACTCTTACCACTAAATCAAAGCCCACATAATTAACGGAGCCATTGAAAGGTGCCTAAAACACAAGGAATGGGGACTCTTGCTTTTCCTTTTTTTCATCGAGATTGAGTTAGTGTTCAGTGCACCTCTTGTGATGCCACTTAAGTCTTTCTCTCTTCGTACAGTCTTGGCTCGGATTAGTCAACAAGAATAAAATCAAAGAAAGCTGGTAGCTCGAGCGAGGAGCGTAGCCTGCCGTCCCGCAAAGCTGGTATCCTCAAACCCCTTGAAGTCTGAAGATCACTTACCCAGCTCCGGAAGGACATGAGTGGAGAATTGTCACCGGATTTGATCCAAAACACACAGGGCAGAGTTACCTTATTGGTGGGTGGGGAAACCAATCCTCCTTGCTCGTTCCTAGAGGAAGACAGCACGGGACAAAGCAAAGGGCAGACGGGGTAATCGCCATGTGTCCTTCTCATGCTCCGTGACAATGTCGGTACCCCAAAACTTGCAGCCAACTGAGCTTTGATTTCAAGCTTTTGAATGTGAAAGCCTGAAACTAATTGATCTATCCTAAAGCATACGATAATGTATCTCTAAAGATCAAGAAGCAACCAAGAAACATTACATGTTTTGTGACATCTTTTTCCTTATCACTAACTTTAGTTTTCCTGTACCAATTACAGCAATATGTTCTTTTTTCTCTTTTAACCCAAGTAAAAGTACAACACAAGCAAAATGGCACATCAGAGGTTGTATATAAGCAGAAACAAAGCTTACTCTCAAGAAACTGTACATAGTATGCCATGATCAAAAACTGGTACCATATGCCTTGAACTAATCGAACGAATTTGCGCAAAATATTTGGGCTTCATGTGAATAAACTGCAGAACCCATTTTTTCCTAAATCGTTGAAGTATTATGTGAACACATCGAGATATCTACAAGAACGCCTTCGGTGGTATTCTAGCAAGCTTGCATATGTTCGATCCCAGATTCCAATGTAAAGAGACTCATCATCCGGACTCAGAGATACCCCCGATATTTCGCCGAAAATATCAATTTCCTGACGTTTCTTGTAATCTGACTCGGTACTATAAATGTGGACAAAATCTGCAGGTTCAGCCACTACCAGGAACCGTCCATCAGATGAGAAACGGATAGATCGTGCAGCACCCATGTTTCCCTTCAAAATGGCTATAGACGAGGACAGGTTTCTCAAGTCCCAAATCCGACAGGTCTTATCTTGATTCCCAGTGGCAAAGGTACGGCCATCTGGGTGCCATGCAGAAGCGAAAGAGTAGTCTAAATGACCCGCAATTGAGGCCACCGTCTGATACAGTAGCAAAGAAGTTCAATTGTAAGTTCAGCAAATGGAGAAGTCATCATGAAAAACAAAAATATGGAGGGGGAAACAGACATCTTCAACCAAAAAAAATAGTCTAAAATTCACATATAAGACTTATAGTACAATGGAGGACAATTATGGATCAATAAAGACAGAGTTCAAACACGTTTTGCTCCCACAAGAAAGATAAATACAAGAAACAAATGTACACTGCAACTCTTTGCAATTTTTTGCAGAATACTTTTGCCAAATAATCGCCTCATCATAAGTGCAGTAACATAACGACCTAACATGCTTCAGAGTGCGCTTCTGAACTAAGAAACTAACATTATGTATTTACATATCCAAAAAATTGCATTCCATCTGATGTAGAAGGTAATGGCTAAAAATTAAAATACCTTTCCATTGCGGGAATCAACAAGTAAACCATCTAGATCATCCCCAACAACAGTAAAAAGCTTGCTATCTGGGCTCATCGAGGTGTGCTGCATAAAAAATAACAGTGAAATTATAAGTACATGAGCTCCTGAAGGATGTAGCTTTGACCAGTAGACAAAGAAAGAATTTTTAATCCAGGTGAAAATTGAAGGGAAGTGAAATATCTATTTGGACATATAATGAATATCCCTACTTATTACTTTCATATCCAAAAACCAGAGGAAATGCAATTCAAACTGGAAGAAGGGACTAGGTCCTGAATCCAAAGAACAAAATCCTTGCCTACCATTCTACCAATAACAAAATCTCATACTAGATCTGAAGAAACTAGTAGAAGCTGGACAACCCTGAGGGGTAGCTCAACTGGTAAAGGCCTGAGGACAAAGTCCTTCAGGTCGCGAGTTCGAGCTCCCGCAGGGCCACGGGAGGCATTACAAACCGGACGCGTCTCCAGGGCCCCATGGAACTAACCGTAGTGCACGCATTGAAACAGCGGGTCCCGGTGGGTACAGCTAGTCGGGTTCGCAAAGCGATGCCCGGAAACCACGGTTAAAAAAGAAGAAGAAGAAGCTGGACGGAACTTTTTGATAGTGGACAGCAGCTTATGCATTTCCGCTATCGACATGCCAGTTCATCCCTCTAGTAGGGATATTTTATGGTATCGGGGCCAGCTTGCGCGCACCTCGACTAATTCCACCGAGTACCTTCTACGTCTCACCAACATAGGTATCAGGTAACTCTACCCACCAAGGTTTGGGCAGATGCGAAGAAATCATCTACCTTTCACAAGGTCCTGAATCACATAGGTTAAATAAGAAAGAGCTTACAGAATAACCGCTTCCACTCACTTTGAATCAGAAAGTTGAAGTCCATGTTAAGCCTCATGCTAGAATTTCACTTAATTAAGAAAAAGCCTCATACTAGAAATTCATGAAACTACTCTATCCCACTAATACAATAGATAATGATGATGATGAGGGGAAGGAGGAGGACAACAATGACAATTCACTTGTATAACAAATTATATTTATACTTCATGAACAACCAAATAATACTATGGTAAGTAGTAACTGATGAAAAGAAGTTTAAAAAAAAGGGGGCAAAGAAAAGGGAAGAACAAAAAGAGCAGAAAAAGCACGTGAAAAGACTGACATTCACTGGCCAAGGGAAGCGGAAATGGTTCATTTGCTGAAACTTTTCCATGTCGTACTCTCTCACACCACAGTCGTTGTTGGATGCCATAAAACGAGGCCCACCACTGCAAAATGTTTATACTTTACTTTCATCGGTTGAAATTTCAAAACTAGCTCAACAACTGATTATGACAGTTCAGACTCTACCTGACGCTTTCATATATCTCAATGGCATTTGTGATAGCATTATCCTCATAAGTGGTCCTTGCACAGAAGCTGACTCCCGGCTTGTCCAAATTCTGCAATATTATTTGAAAGCAAAGTTAAGCAAATACCACAAAAAAAGTGAAGTTTAGAGGAAAGGAACTTTTATTAACTAAGAATTCACCAACACCACATCAGCTTTTTCCTGTGATTAAGAGATGCACTGACCTTACAAATGAGTTCTCCATGGAAGCCACCAGCAACCACAAAACGGTTCTTCACTGCCATCGTGCTGATTTGGGTCTGTGTCAGACCCTCTAACAAACTTCCTGCGTGTTTCTGGAGGCCCAAAACAACAAAAAAGAATAGGTAAAACATAAGCAAGAGAAGAATAGTTATATCCCTAAAAAGCAAAGAGAAAAATGTTAAAGAGGAAAAATTCAAGTGGAACTTCTTTTTTTTTCGCCCCTGTTTTGTGGCGGGGAATGGGGCAGGATATTTCTGTCAATACCCACCACAAAGCCAAGACTAAAAACGCATATATGCACACAAGAGTCATATTCCAGGCTATATCACACCTAAGAGGAGGAAGAAAGAAGCAAGAGCATTACAGAAACTAAAGTAGGGGACCATCACTAAATACTTTTCAATTACCTCCGTCGGTGCTATGTGTCCAGAGAAGTTGATAACTTCTGAGAGGTTACGAGAAATGGATGACCAATGCATAAGTGAATAGTTCGAAATCATATACACGTCATGCTTTGAAGTTGCCCACACCAAGTTCCTTAGCTGCACAAGAGGCAAAAGAAGTCATTAAAAGATCTCCACTCAGCAAATTGACCACACCAAAAAAAAAGGCCATTGGCAAAGATCACAGAACAAATCCAAACTTTGAAACTGTAATTAAGAGATATCCCCCTATAACATCGCATGTGGTATCTCACTACTTACAAGATAAGAAAATTGACATGAATAAAAAAACTAGAGATAATTCATTTGGCAACATAATAATTTTTGTTCATTACTGGAGGAACAAAAATATGCCTTGTTTTTTTATTTATCTCAATATGAAAGGGAAAAGAAAAACGAAACACACGAAAACCGGGTCGGTGAGCGGAAGTGTTAAAAAGAGGACGAAATAGACCTAAAATCATATGGAAGGAAGTTGTCTCGAATGACCTACAATTTCTAGGGATTCACACAGACATAGCAAAAGATAGGGCACACCGGAAGAAAAACATCTATAAATGCGATATATATTAGTTGAGAATATATTTTTTATGTCAGCACTTTTACTGTGTGTCCTATGCTTTTCTAGAGGTGGTTTAGCCTTTCATAGATTTATACATTTAGAAAATACACAAAACTTATAATACTTTTCGTTTGTATTTGCATAACATTGACATGAGATGAGTTTAAATTGAGTAACGTGGTCAGTTAGGTGATTCATATAGCTGGTCCCAACTTGTTTGGGAATGAGCCGTAATTATAGTAGTATGCCGATTGTCACAGAAGGAGTCTAAAAGAAGCCTCTGCTGTTGTAGCATTAGGAATTCAACGTTGTAAAACACAAATTATCATAGTGTATATGGAATCTGCAGAATAAAGCGGACCTGAAAATGTAGTATTGTAGGCTTAACGGATCTTGCATTATAAAAGAATTCGTAGTAGGTGGCACCCTTCTCCACTTGTTCGCATTCCTGAAAATGCAATCACGTAAATGACCAGCAAAGATGAGTATTTTACTGTGGTCGCAACGAATTGACCCAAATGGAAGTCTTTAAACTAGAAAAGAATTGCAGTGCACATACCTTATCGACAGCTTCCCCCGACAAAGGAATGTTCTCATAATTTCTATACTGTTCGAGCCTTGTCAATCTGTAACTTTGCCTGGTTACATTCAACCTCTCCCATGGGATACCTTGTATATCCTTCCCTTTTCTTGCTTGTGCAGCCGATGTATCAGTCACTTTTGTTGGCTAACCAAATATCACAAAATAGAAAAGAATGAATAATAAACTAACACTAAAGTAATCATGTCTCGTTTAACCCATAATGATATCAATAGTTCCAGGTAACTCAAAAATTGATGGTGACAATTTAGAACCAGACAACAAGTGATCCATCAGAAAATAGATAAATTTGACTAGATAAATCCAGTAAAACTACATTAGTTCTCGAGTGAATCAAGTTACTATATTTTCAAAAGGATGAGCATTCCAAACCATGGACCTTTGGCTGCGATATTATAACATAGTTATCAACAAGAGCGTCGAGCCTAAAATGGAAGAAGTGAATCAAGTTACTATATTTTACTAACCATATCATAGTCATCAAGATTTGTCTCCTCATTATAGAGTTCGCCCTCAAATTCATCAGCTGAATCAGTCACCTCTCTGTCGTCCGCCATGTAATCCAATTGGTCAACCCTTTCAACAGACATGCCTTGAAAAAATAGATGAAAATTGCAGATTAAAGGTTGCCCCAAAAAGAAAAAAGAACAAAGAAATGGGGGGATATTATAAATCTTCATCAAAACAATGCACTCAAAAATTTCAAATAAGTAAATCAACGAAAAAAGTTTAAAATCTCCTACCCCAAACAACCACTAGCCAGATTAATTTCCCAAATAACAAAAGATAAAAACCTTCATTTTCATTACCAAGAAACTCCTAAAACTGAACTACCATTGATGAACATAATGCTGTGACTATCATCAATTCTACTAGTATGATTACCTATCTTTTTGCCACAAATAGCAAATGCTAGAAAATAACAACAAACCCAGTGAAATATCACGAGTGGGGTTTGGGGAAGGTGGTGTGTAGGCAGACCTTACCCCTACCTGGGAGGTAGATAGACTATTTCCAATAAACCCTCGGCGAATCCTAGAAAATCATTTCACAAAAAAATTATACAGAAATAAGAAGTCATTCTTGAATTACCCACAACAGCTCCTCATACTAAACAACATTCAAAGCTTTAATGCTGAGATTACTATTGCTAATATAACTCCATAAACCCAACAAAAATATTACAACAAACAAAGAAATAGTAAAAACTAATTCTTGGAACCTGAAAAAGCTTTAATGCTAAGACTATTGCTAATAACTGCATAAACCCAAGAAAATAATATTACAACAAACCAAGAAATAGTAAAAGATAGTATAATCTTTGCATAAGAAGAATACACACAAAAAATGGAGGCAGCAAAAGAGTTGCAAGAACTAACAAGAAATTTTTATTTTATTTTTTTGGGGGGGAGAAAACAGCTTTTTAAAATATACCCAGATGTAAGAGGCATTTTTGTAGGCAAGGAAAAATGGAATTTTTTTTCCAGCATTAAAGCCAAGGAAATATTACTACAACAAATTGTAGTAACCAGAAAATTGTCTTTTTTTCAAGAATAACCAGTTTTTTCTTTCTTTCAACTTCTTCTACTTCTTGTGCTGCAATGTCAATGTGCAGGTTGAATGATAGCTTCTAACCCCCACCACCACCCCGCCCCAACACACACACACACACAACAGAGGGCAGCAAAAGGGAATTGCAAGAACTAACCAGAAAATTGTTTTTTTTTCAAGAATAACCAGATTTTTTCTTTCAGCTTCTTCTTCTACTTGTTGTTAATGTGAATGTGCAGATTGAATTATACCTTCTAACCACCACCACCCA